CAAACCACACGGTCGGTGCGGAATGGAAATACATTTTTCCATTACAACGATTTAAATGGGAGGATTAACAGCAAGTTGTTGCTGGTCCAAATATTAGAATTGATCTTTCTTTTCTTATTGGACATTCCAATCGATTCCGTCGTTAGTCTTACCGGTCGTTCCAACGCTACCGTGATCGATTGGTTCAACATGTGTAGAGAGGTATGCAGTTCGATGGTATCAGACACTAGAAATGGTCGATTAACTGGAACACATGAAGACCCGGTGCAAATAGATGAAGCCCGTTTTGCCGGTGGCAGAAAATACGGTAGAGGAAGAATGTTGCAGGGCGATGCACCTGCAGAATCAGAAGAGTCTGATGATGACATCCACAATAATCGTAACCATGGACGACGTATCGATGGACCATGGGTGTTTGGTTTGAGGAATATTAACGAAACTCGTTATTTTTATGTGGCAAGACGAGATGCAGAAACATTGCTCCCAATAATTCAAAGAGAAGTTGAAATGGGATCGCTTATCCACTCTGACGAATGGCCTGCATATCGCAGGTAAATCATCAAGAGAACTACGTTAATCCAGAGACTGGAGCTCATACACAGGGAATTGAGCGGAGTTGGCTAGACGCCAAAATAAAAAAAATGAAAAAGATGAGAGGAGTGCCCATCCAACATTCCCAGTCCCACTTGGATTAAGTTTGTTGGCGGATTTTGAATAAAAACGTAGATGATCTGTTTATAAAATTTTTAGACGACATTAGGCAAGTTTATCGCGAATGAATAAGTATATGTAATAATAAAAGTTGACAATGAATATAATGTGTATAGAATGTAATTGTTGATATTGAATACAATTTTCGTAATTCTGATGAGTACTTTTATTTACCTGTAACACCTTTAATATAGTCTAGGGACATACTAGATCGCACACTACATTCAATTAGTTGAGGTAGACTGTCAGCAAGATGGTAGACCGCATACTAAATTCAATTTGGATTGGTAGACCGCATACTAAACCGGCACCAACTCATGCGCATTGGTTTTCAAATCTGATTGAAATGCGGCCAAAAAAAGGACATTTTCGTGAGTGGGTCGAAACGGGGAATGAAATTTGTATGTCAAAACAAAATTTTTTTTATATTCCTTTCGCCGGGTAGCATTATGGGAGAGGAGATTTTAGCATTTGAAATGATTATGTTTTGTTACGGGTATGAAGTTACCAGATTTCGTGCAAGCAGAAAAGACACGGTGTCGCATCAAGTGATTATTGTACCGTAATCGGTCGCAATCGGTAGAATCCGGAAAAGTCGCGGATACTGTCAATACGGTACTTACTTAACAGTGCGCAAGGGTTTTGTTAATTCGAATTTAAAATTCTCGCACATCGCCCGTGATGACATTACAAGCCTGTTACGACGCTTAGTATTCAGAAAGTGTATGTTTGCGACACGAGCGAGCTTGCGCGCGCGAGTGGAGCAAGTGATTCCGGGCGAATAAGGGTTATTTGTGTTTTACATATGGATTTATAGGATATAGGTTATACGGTTATCATTTCCAATGTCTCCGATGGTTGCGAAATCTATCTATCTATCGTTTCCGTGATTAGGGGAAGATTTAGATAACCTCCTCTTTCCACGGGGAGTAGCTCTACGACAATAGAACACGGAGGTTCACAAATTCCTCACCAATCGGATTTTTGGTCACCGAAAGCTATCGGGCGGATACATCCGTGTAGCGCAAGGACGTTATTATATAGATGCTTTTATTAGAGCGAAGAAATAAAAGTATTTGGGTTTGTCTTCAATTTAAACCTTAATATACCTTCAGTTATCTTGTATTGTAGGCTTTTAATATCCCCTTAATAATTAGACAAACTACGCTGACTATTGTCAAATACTTACCTATAATAGAAATAAGTGTAATATGTGACGGAATATGTCTTCCCAGCCCCCTCTACTATACTCAAATACTTTATTAGACTGGGAAGGATCGTAGCCTACCGACAGAACTAGCCGTGACACTCATCCCCACTATTGCGTTGACGTCACAACTGACGGCGGCCGTCATATCGACTTTTAATGTAATTAATTCCAAGTAAGCTTGATGTTAACTTATTTTTTAATGTTGTACACTTAAATTAACTGTATTCTAACAGAATAAGTAAGAAAATGCCAAATACGTGCTGCGTCTCTGGTTGCAAAAGCAATTATAGTTCAAGAGACAAGGTTACGGTTTGTCGTTTTCCGAAAAATGAAGACGATTAAAAAAAGTGGTTAATATGTATTCACCGGGACAATTTCGAAATTACTAGTTACTCCAGGGTTTGTATAAAGCATTTCTCCGACATTTTCATTATTCGGGTAGACAAGATGATGACTAGACAAGAGGGTACAGTATTAACAGTTCCACGAGACCAGATTAAACTTGCCGAAGACGCGTATCCCACCATTTTTGAAAATCAGGCATCATATATGAAAAGGATGTAAATGATGAGTAACGGGAAAATATAGACTTTGGCAACTACAAATGACCGAAAACCCGTAGTCTCTAGGTGGTCCAGGAGCCGAGATCTCGATGGAACAGACAGATAGGCAGACGGAAAATCGAGCACATATACGGGTTGCCTCAACTTCGTTTTGTTACGCTAAAAAAGGCAGATGTGTGTATTAGAATGTTTAAATTTAATTTGTTTTCAGTGAGTATTTGTTGTTTATGTACGTATTTAATAAAAGTTTTTGCATAATTACACGTGTCTATAATTACCCAACAAACAATGTTAAACGGGCCAATGAAGGAAAGTCATACACCACTGGTATTGGCCCAATGACTTGCCAGGGATTATATGTTTGCTGGGTAGGAAAAAACATATAACAATCCTGCGGCTCAAAATAAGTAATTACTAAATGTTTTCGCGTTAAATGAGTACGCGCGCAAATCAAATTGCATTTAAACACATAGTATCGCGTTATAGTGGCCCATCTCCAGTTGTGACGTCACTAAAGTAAATGTCACGGCTAGATCTATCGGTAGGCTACGGAAGGATGCGCTCTGTGAAATTCTTTGTACTATGCGATCAAAAATGAGTTGCTGTCGAGTCACCTTTGGAATTTTTGTTTACATGGGAAATCGTACTTAACTTGAACATCCAAAGGCGACTAGACAGCAACTCATTTTTGAACGCCCCTTTCCCATAACCATTGAATAAATCTGTATAATCAAGTCTTTAAAGCACGCGCAACGAGTTTAATGGCACAATGCGAAGCGGAGTGCCTTTCAGGTTGCAAATGCTTTAAAGACCAATTATACACGTGTATCTTATAGTATTTTTTATTATACCTGCAACAAATTTAACTAAATTTAAAAATAGGCAATACAATGAAATCATATTGACGCTATACTCGAATACATGTCTAAGTGGGCTGGGTGTTCGTAATTTCATGATTGCCATGGAAATGTCACTTGACGTTTGCTTATAAAAATCATCGTCTTTGTGAATAAAACGATTTCCGTTGAAAAAGATAATACACCGTCCATTAAATCGATTGTTGTAAAATCTAAACAAACGTTTCCATGGATGAATAGGAAGTTACTTACGAATAAAGTCTTAAATGCATCGATAATGCTGACATATATGAAGGAAATGCCAAAGGTATTTAAATCTTCTATCTTTTGGTGCATTCATTCAAAACTTCAAACAATGCTGCGATTAAAAAGTGGAACAGATTTGGAAGCATACCCTAAATTACGCGCGTTTGTGAAAGCTTCAACCAAAAGATAGGTACAAGCCAAAGAAATGTTCTGCATTTACAGAAAGCTTTTTATTTCCGCACCAGATGACAGTTTCAAAAGTTTCAAAGTTTCAAAAGTATCATCACTTAGCAACTTTAAAGCACGTGTGTTTTAAAGGCCTTTTTTTCGGACGTATTTGAGTGTTTAAAACGGAGATTGTGATTCAGGTATAATAAAAAAATTTTTTCTAATCCTATACTTGTTCATTGTAAAGTGAGGTATTTTGTAAATAAAGGTACTCGTATGTTGGATTTAAAAACCCATAGTCGTAGATGGAAAGCCTTGAATACACTGTAAAGATCATCAAACAACCGCAAAAAATGATGAAGAAAAGGGCCGATAGTAAAAAATTAATAATTCTTGTATGTTGCAATAAAATTAATATTGCACGTACAAACTGGACTTTAAATAGTTAAAAAGCCATACCTTAATTTTTAAGGTAAGTAACTGAACCCATTCACGCTGGTCTTGTTCGTATAAGGTGTACACGATTGCGTAATTTATCGAAAACTTAATTATGTATGTATGTAGATCGTGCTAAGCTCATAATTTAGAAATGTTGCGTATATTTTGCGATAACGTAATTTTTCTGCAGTCATATTAGATCCCTTGAATTAAAATGATCTACTTTCTATCGTTGACGTTTTTTATGCAATTTATTATATTGTTATTATCTACACCGGTTCATTCTTAAAATGGCAAAGCACGAGAATTTATTGTTTATTACTAAATAAGGAATGTGTTAAGTTTACTTATTTGACACTATTAGCTAATTTAAGTTTAACGGATCGTGCACGTAAATTAGTAAGAACAATGATAATGGATGGTTATTTGTTAGCCAATCTTCACTTTCATCTCTTTTAATAAAAGAAATTAGCACTATTCAATTTGTGCAACCCAAAATTTCGCACAGAAGAATAGACGAGAAAATGCATAAATCAAATATAAATACATTCACGTAATTTTGCCATTGTAAACACCTATTCGTGCTGATATCCTTTACAAGTTCTCAAAATTAATTACATTTGCAAAAAGAGAAAGTGTGCAACTGTCTCTGTGTGTAACCTATTATTTGACAGCAATATGAAATTAATTTATGAATTAATTTCTCCTTCGGATATTATTTGCAATAAATTATTAGTAATAAATTCCTCGGATGTAATTATTATTTATTCTCTTTAGTTGTTTACTTAATCAAGAAGACATCCTCACCTAATAGCGGTCATAGTGATAGCAAGTCCTATGGCACTGCAAATTAGAAAAACCTACACCTCACTCACGCACGCAATAAATAAATACGCACTCGATTGCAAGTTAAGTGCAATGAAACTATGATCATGGAACGTAAAAGACTGTTACTTTAACATTCGCTTTAATCCCCAAGACCGAATTCTTAAGTTTTCCCTCCTAACGTGAGTGGTCATTACTTCTTTAGTATCTATGTAGATCACACGCAATGACAGAATTAGGCGAAAATTTGTGTCTACTTAATATAAATAAGTAAATGTCTAAATTTACAAACAAATTAGAATAATCTAGAAGGTAAGTAACTAAAAAAATATGTAAACTTGACCCACCCAGTAATTACTTCGATCAGCTATATGAGAAAACTTGATAGTTGCTACACATTAGCTAGGTAATAGTAAATAAAATAGCTTTTTTATTGATTTTTTTTTGGTTTTTATATTTATTTCTACAAGATTTATGTAAGAAGTGCAGTGCAGACAATGCTGAAAGCGAATCTGGAACACACATTTTGCGGAGAGAAATTGATGGTTTCCTCAATTATATAAGATACCTGCTTTATAGTCCTTTTACTCTCAGATCATTTCGTTTACTTAGATTAATACAGATAATTTACTTACAATTAAGAATTAAGTAACTTTAATTCTCAGTATAAGTATGACGTGGATGATCTAGAAGGATCGTGAAAGGTATAGGTAGGTAATCTTGTGATAGGGGCAAAGAGAAGGTACATTATGCAAGTGATGTAACAGCCAGATTTTTACTTTACAATCCATGTTTCAGATACTCTAAGCGGTTATTACTTCTAATAAAGACGATGATTCTTAACGGTGAGGTATCGCGTACAAGGTTTGATGAAGCTTGCCATTGAGAATTTTCTAAGTTGTAATTAAACGTACCAGGAGCGGCCTAATTATCATGTCAAACGAAAATACCACTCCAACCCAAAAATTGTAAAAAAATCTCTTTAGAAGGAGTTAATTTAGATTTAATTTGTTTTTGGGGGACTAGAAAATCGCGCACATTCGCGTTGTAAGGGGTGATGGTTTACTAGTTCAAAGAAATATTTCCTAATCGAAGGCAAAAATTTAGGTCACCTTCTGAAGGTAAAGCATACGAAACATACTACGTCATTAAACGCATTATTTAACATGCAACACAAATAAATGGTTTCCATGGTAATGATTTACTGTTACTTTAATCGTTCGGAATCGCGCAACAACAATAATTAAATAATAACGGATACCATTATTTATCGGTTTTAAGCATTACGCATTCATTGAATACGAAACATACCTATGCTCCAATAGGTAAATTCGCGTTACAAGTAAAAGTAATGCCGATAGTCTCGTGCAAGTATAGAGAAAACTTTACCTTGAGCACTGTCTGGCGGTCCAATTGTCCAAATGAATGAGCACATGGACCGATTTTGATCAAGTTTTGTATAACGTGTTTGGTGCATTCTAACGTGCTTAAGTATTCAACATAAAACGTTACAAATAACTCTTCAGGGCAGATCTTACAGCAGAATGATTTGGTACATTATTAACGAGCTCGTTAGTCCAGGCAACGAAGCCCAGAAAAGGCTGAATAGAGGAAAAAAATCGTGTAGAAGCCAATTTTGGCAAAGATGTAGGGGAAGGTATCCTGAACAACATACTAAAAGTACTGAGGAGTGAGGTGTGAGCTAAAGGAGGGGGGAGGGGTTAAAGGTCCCTTTTTTTAGTTTGTCCTGAATAATTTGAAAACGGTTGCTCCTAGTTAAAAATGTTGCTCTAGAGAATTAAACAGCGTAAAATTATCTACAAAATGATATAGCACAGTATATAATAATAATAATAATAGTTAATGAGATCCAGAGGGAAGAAAAATCAAAATTTGTCAAATTTTAACCGGTACGCACACGGGGAGCCCGAATGCGATTATGATACGTAGGCGGGAGGATGGAGGTCCACGGGGAGATCAGTGCATGCTGGTGGACAGCAAGGACGTCATTAGTTCACTCTAATCACGCTATGAGGCTCCTATTGTTCAATTGTTTCATCCATTCAAATGCAACATGTTGTCCCATGACAACGACACGAACGAACTCATTCAGTTCCACTGTCTTTAGTGAGTCTTTACGATAAGTTACGCATCTTTAAGCTAGTGCGTTTAATTGACTTGTGTTTTACTTTACTTGATGCCACATGATTAACTATGGCTGATAAGTGTTTAATTTGCGAGCATGATGTTGGCAGTGATTTATGTTATGTACCTATAAGTGGGGAAAATGGAATAACTGGATTAGTAAGACTAAGATCTAGTATTCTAAGAAAAGATGGACAAGTAGCCAGTTTTAGGAGCAAAGAAAGCGGCCTGTGTTTTTTTACAGATACAACAGTGGCTCAATAACCCCTTACCCAATGGGGTTGGGCCAGACGGGGTACTATTCTCAGTAACAACAAATGATCCAATGGCACTCGAGGCGATAGTTAACACAACATTTTGCCGATGTACAACTGGGTGCAGAGGGAGGTGTGGCTGCCGCAAAGCAGGAATTGCTTGCTCCGTCGCTTGCGGCAGTTGCCTTGGCATGTGCACGGATGGAGCCCCGAACGATGCCATCGATGACGACGACGATGACGATTTTGACTCCTGCCCACAGAATCTCGCCTACGTAACATAATCGGAATCAGACTTGCCGTGTATTACGACTATTTTAAAATTTTTGATTTTTCTTCCCTCTGTATTTCATTAAGGATCATCATGACTTATATACTGTGCTATATCCTTTTGTAGGTAATTTTATGGTGTTTAATTTTCTAGAGCAAAATTATTAATTAGGAGCAACCGTTTTCAAATTATTCACGAAAAACTAAAAAAGGGATCTTTAACCCCTCCCCCACCCTTAGCTCACACCCCACCCCACAGTACTTTTAGTATGTTGTTCAAAGATACCTTCCCCTACATCTGTGCCAAAATTGGCTTCTACACGATTTTTTTCCGCTATTTTTCCTTCGTTGCCTGGACTACGTAGCGAGTTTATAATTTTGCGGTGTCTGTCCGTCCGATTTTTTGATAACGAATGGCCCGATTACGATATAATTTAGTAGATGGATTCTTTCTCAAATTTGTAGATCGGAGTGAATTGGCAATGTAGCCCAAAAAATAAGGAAAGCCCTTGTCAGAGGGAGTTATGAACCGAAATGGATGGAATTCAATATGCGTATAGCTTTAGCCATATAAAACGCAATTCCAAAAATTGAGCCTAATCGATCAACATTCACAGTGCATCTCGACCATTTATAAACCGAATTGCAAACTTTTTTATTTATGAAGGTATTTAAATGGAATTTGATAGACAGCCACTTGGAATAAAAGCAAATGTAGCGCCATTTTCCAAATTTGGTTTTGTGTAGGATGTGTAGTGCCAACTTTCTTATTTATGGAAGCAATTAAATGAATTTCATACATATTAAGTATACACTTTAAATAAAAGCAAAACACACATCAGATTTATAATCTGCTTTTGCACATGCTATAGCCATACCGAGGAGCTCGTTTTCTATATTTGTTTAGTTTACTATCGTCTACAATTGTTAATAATAATCTTTTAAATATACAGAAAAAGCCTGGTAGCCTACCACTCTCATTAGTCATTAGCATTACAGACTTTTATTGCAGCTTGAGAATCGAAGATTCACTTTGTTAGCATCTAGTTGTTAGCGAAGGGCTGCTCCTTGGCGGGACTTGTTCTTGCATAAAGACATCCTTTGAATATGATAACACTAGAACCTGAACGAGTTAAGCCACCCTAAACATACATGTTTAAAAGTGCCAAAGCGGTGGCATTAAATACTGGATATGACCAGTTTAAACGAGAACTTTTGGCATTGAGTTTAACTAAACTAAAACTATGCCCAGTTTGAATTTCATGCAATTCGGTTCATAACTAACGGAGATGTTAAAAGAGCCTTCTTTATTTTGTGGCCTACATTGCCAATTCACGAACTCCGATCTACAAATTTGATAAAGAATCCACCTGCAAAATTTCATCGTAATCGGTCCATTCGTTTATGAAATATCGTGCTTGTAATGTATTTCGGTTGCGTTATGTTAGCCGAGGGTAGAGGCGTTAATAATAAATAGTAATTCGTGGACGTTGGTTACGATAGCTCTTTTATTGTTGATCGTCAAGTACGTACTGCCATCGTACCGCTCGTTGACATCGGACATGCGTAGTCCGATGATATATGACATGCTCTACCTTTTAAAATTGAAACAAAACAAAACATGCAAACATATTACATTGCACAAGTCAACACTTAAATGAAATAAATAATTACAAATTGCAAGTCAAGTCTAATAGGTGGTTTAATAACACGCCCGAATCGCGTAGCTACGGTTCGCACGTCACTGTTAGGGTTTGGCACATACAAGTCTTCTTCTAATTGATGTCTGGTCGATGATTGGCAGTTACCGGTCGAGGGTCGATAGTCGCTGATGGTCGATGGTTGACAGTCGCTGGTCGAGGGTTGATAGTTGCTGGTCGATGGTTGACAGTCACTGGTCGATGGTTGACAGTCACTGGTCGATGGCTGCTCTTCTAATCGATCGCTTGGCGGTGGTTTTCTATTCGGCTGACTTTGTTCTCGGGTGTTGGATCTCGAATGTTTTTGACAAATTAGGCAAGCTAATACGATATTTTCGATGTCAACGGTGAGGCCTGGCCAGTATACTGAATCTTGAGCGAGTAGTTTTGTGGAGACCACTCCTTGATGAAATTTGTGCAGCAATTTTAAAAATTCGTTCCTAAGGTTTTTTGGAACTATTATTTTGTTTTTATAAAAAAGAATGTTTGCATGAAGATATATGTCTCCTTTTAAAGGCCAATATGTTTTGAGAGATGAAGGTAGGTTGCACTTATGAGTAGGCCAACCGTTTAGTGCATAATGTTTGAGTTTGTGGAGGTCAGGATCTTGGTCAATTTCTGTCTGTAGTCGTCTTTCGTTTTCGGGTGTTGTGGTGATAACTGAGTACACCCTTAGGTTTTTCTCAAGGTAGTCTGTGTCGATGTGTTCTCTTAAGGGATCTCTGCTTAAGGTATCGGCAACTTGTTGGTTTTTTCCAGGAACGTATTGTATACCTCAGAAGTCTATGGGCCAATCGTTGTATTCTCGGTGACATTTCGTCAAGAGGTTTTTTGAGTAAACCTAT